GAGTCATGCACTTGTAAACCCTGATGTGACACATGGTAAACATGGTTCTTGGAGCAGAACTTTTCACAGGTTAGCATAATGTCTCAAACGCCCAAAGCCTAAAAGGGAGGCTTCTCTTCTTCTTGGTGGTCAGAGCCACATGTTGTCTCCTGACTTCCTTGCGTACGATGGTACGTGGACTACATGTACGTACGCTGTGTGTCAACGGAAGCCGTGCACAGTGTTGCTGAACTCAATGGGGGGGAGGGGCTCCGTGCCTTCAGAGACTGTTGAGGTGCTAATGCTTTCCTGCAGGCAGCCCCTGAGGTCAGCAAGCCTGCTGGTTGTTTCATTCCTCTGGAGCCACACGACCAATCGTTATTTCAGATATGCTGCATGTGTCATTTTGTTTCAGTTATTTACCTCACTGCCTGTCCTCCGAAACACATCTTTCAGCCTGAGATTGCTTCCTCCAGAGATCCATGTTTCCAGTTTGTCTGCTGTTCCTGACGCTGCCCATTACTCGTCCGATTTTCTCTCACTGTCTGCAGCGTTACAGCCCCTCTGGTGTGGGCCTAGCATTGCAGGCTTTTATCTCAGCTTGTTGACGTAAGGATTACTCCTTCCACATGTACAGTACTAAGCTATAGTCTCTCTTTCTGTTTCCTGGCTTCTTAAACAAAAGAGTGCAAGCTTTGACTAACAGCGTTCGGACGTTTTAAAAAAGAAAAAGGCTAATTACACCAGCCTAAGTGAGCATAACTAATAATTTGACACTTTTAGAGTAAGACCAGCGTAAGGAGCCTACACTTGTGACTCATCACGGCAATCCAGCCTTCCAGAGTTGCCTAAATGCTTGACCCCTTTTTGACCCTTTCAAGACTAAACATATCTTTCCTCGATCTCTCTGGCTTCCCTGCATCTTTGTTGTAGCTCGTGTAAACATGGCTTATAGCAACAGATCCCCACAAAAACACCAGCCCGGAGCAGGAGAAGCACATACACGGGCTCGCCAAAGAAACTTCTCAGCAGTAATCTTATCTTTCAGTCCATGTGGATGGAGACAATGGAGAGGTGATGTGAATAGCAAGTAGTTAAATGTGTTGACATTCTTTCGCTGTGAGATATAGGCAGCGGCGAGAAGAGTTGTTTGCTGTGATTTTCCTACGTTGTGTTCTCTGTATTGTCCCTGGCAGAGGTGTGTAGTGGGATCTTACCCTCCATTTGTTGTTTTCAATGGGTTAATTGGGCGGCCCTGTTCACCCTGTGCTGGTTGCTAGAAATGAATGCAGCACAGTCGTTAATCTGTGGGCTTGTTTCCTTTGATCCAGGATTGTTTGACAAATGCATTGGGTACACTTACATGGGATAAACAGGTGGAAGTCTGGGCAGGCCACACAGTGAGTACTCCTTTACAGTCAGTGTAAAGCAGAAAGAAATGTGTTTGTCACACCACAGAAACGTGTTATCAACCACCCAGCCAAACACCCAAATATTTTTAAAAATTACAAAGTGTGAGGAAAAAATAGGTGATTTAAAAAAATGTAAATTGTGAGAGAGAGAAAAGCCTGCTGAGAGGGTGCTGACTGACAGCTCTCACATAATCGACTGGATTCCCCCTGCAGGAGACTTTGAGGAGTTGCCCTCGGCGTAGATTTAATTGAACCACACAGGAAAGGAAACGAATCACAACATACATTTAGTCACTTTACATCTGTTTCTCCTTCTTGTGCCAGACTCCACTGTGGTCTCGTGTACCCGAAGGAAAGGAACCCTCTAGAGTCTGAGGTGTTGCTCTTGGGTTTTTTGCACGGTGTGACCATTTGTTGGCACATCCACTCCTGGGAAGACATTGTGTTAACATACACTCCCACACTCAAACTGCCAAAACCTCTGCTTTTATGGGAGTAGGCACACTTAATTATCAATTAACCGAGTGGATTTGATTAGCAGCACCTTGCTACTTCTCTCCCCTCTTAATTCCAGCGGGAGCAGTAAGGACGTACTACATTTTTCACAAACTGCTTCTGCGTAGTTTTTGTTAAATAAAGAATGACATCTTCTAAAATAATGTTGTTGTTCATCTGAGGTTGAATTTGTAATTTTAAGACCTATTTGTGCTCCGGTCATTTTGTTTTAGTGTTTCCTGATGAACGAAACCTGAAAGAATCAAGAGCAGCTCTACTACTTGATATTGTAAGAAACTGAAAGATCGCCTGCACATGCAAATGATAGAAAAGATTCAGCTAACTACAGCCACTGCATAGTGATGTCCTCTTTTCGAGTCGCCTGCCCGAGTAACAGAGCAGCACAAGGCCACCCTTGAAGTTTAGCTCTCACGTTCTTTCAGATGAGAAACGACATGTTCCCAGGTGCCTTCTTGTTTGCAAGCCAGATGACACATCTGTATTTGCTGAATCGTTCTCAGTCCTCATTTACAAAAGTGCAGATTCAGGACTACATCATGGCTGCAAATGTTTATTTCAATATAATCAGCAAAGGTAAATGAACAGAAAACAAAAGCTGCGTTGCACGGAGGCAGCCCCCCAGTTTCCTTCCTGTTATCAAAAAATACTTAGCAATTATTGAATTTATTCTGTAAACCTTTACCCAGAGTTTCCAACAGTGCCTTCTCTTTTTTTTATCAAAAAAATCTGGGTGCGAGTTTCATGCGACACCTCATCGTATCTAGAATCCAAGGAGCAGATGCTGTTGTTTGTCCGATGTTTATCATTACGAAGGGTTGAGCGCAGAGCCTCAGTCGTAACTTCCTGCGTGTCCACAGCAGAGTTGTCAGGCATGAAAACAATGGCCACATGAGCTGGTGTTTGCTGGACAGTTACTCGGATCTTAAAGAGACCCACTGAGAGCGTACAGCATGAACACCCCCTGCCTCCCCTCTGCTGCAGTGATTGCTGTGCTTCAGACCGAGGCTCAGGGAGAGATAACGGAGCAGACATGCGTGAAAAGGAGAGAGGAGATAACAGCTCTCACCTGAGGGAACGCACTGCTATCACCTAAACAGATGAAGCTTTCAAAACAGATTCATCCTGATCTTTCAAAAGATTATCAACAACTCTTATCACTGTCACCTCAGACAGATTAAAAAAAATCTAAGAGTGTGGTTCCCCTGCAGGACAGCTACTTACAGCTCTATCTACATCATTATAGAAGCGTTTTGGTTCTTGAAGAAGTATATTTTCATTACAAAAAGCCTCCCCGGTCTGAAATTATGCTTTATTCCTCATTTAGATGAAGAGACCTAGTGTCATTATTTCATGTGTAAGGCACTTGAACAGCATTTTCTATTTTTGTTTTCTTTTGTCTTTGAGCCAGAAGTTGCCTTATATGGATAAAAGGTTGCAGTGCTGATTTATCAGCTAATACTAGCAAGCTGCATTACTCCATCGTGTGTGCGCAATACTCAGACACACCTAACAGCTGATAAGAACTTAAGTTACAGTCTATTAAAACACAAAAATTTCACTCACCGAGGATGAAGCCCAAACCTCTTGGATGGTCTGTCCCGCACATTAAGCCATAATATTATTTAGATAAAAACACCATAAAAGAGACCAGCAACACACCCACAGTGACACTCGGTGACTCAAAGTACTGGATGAGGCCTGGATGCTGATTGGTTTCAACTGCCTATCCTGGGATACCTACCGTTCTGTGCAGCCACGCCCCTAAGTCCATTTTCTAGGACAGAGTTGCACTAAAAGCTGCACAAGGAGGCAAAAACAGTTCTTGCTACCAGGCCGTAAAACAGCTTTTTGAGTTGGTTGTTGTAACACTAGTAACATTGTTGTAACATCAACTCCCTTTTTTTGGAGTCAGCTTAGAGGCCAGCGATTGCTAACATGAGAGCTGACAATCGATGCACTGCTCTTGGTGCACAAATCAAATAAAGGGAGTTGATGAGCTCTTTGTTACAATATATGACCCAAGTACTGGATCCCTACATCAAACCCAACCATGCTGGACGGCTTCTAAGAGTGAGGCAAACCATATGCAATTTCATTTTTAAGGGTCACTTTGTGTGCATGGAAATAGAACTGTAACCATTATAGTCCAATCATAGCTTATGGCGTATGAACGCCACTGACACATTTTGCATGAAGCAGATGATTTAACACCAGAGTGACAGTTGGATTGCTAGCTGCCAGTTCCCACCATGTGGGATTTTCGTCTGTTGATGAGTTGTTGAGTCCCAGGGGTTGTGCTGAGGGGTTTTTTGTCTATCTTTGTGCGACTTGACGAAAACATTCTCCGAAGCTAAATGCTTCTGTGATCGATGGTCTAAATAATGTGCTTGCTTGTCATTTGTATACTGATGTTGCTGTTTCCTATTTCAGTGATGACAGCGACATGGAATTTGGACGTGGGCCTCCATCTTTGTGGTTTTAGTTAATTAGTGGGGCTGCTGAGGTTTCTCTCTGCTCTCTGGCACGCTTGGGTTCAGGTCTATTGGAGCCGTTTGATCTCAGGCGGTATTGTTTCCATTATTAGACAATATTAGTGATTAAACTTTTGCGGTCGTATTTCTGTACTTTAGAACTTGACCCGTCTGTTCTCGCTGCTCTTTTTTTATTATTAGGAATGTTCTCAATATTGTTTATGTCCTTATTTAATGGCAGAACTATTCAATAGCTTTTACAGTTTAAGAGACTCAACAATTGGTCTGGAACAATGAAGGTCAACCCAAGTCAGAAAAAGAAACGGGGAGGGATGACAAACACACTGCACAATGAGTCTTCCCCACATGGGGACGATCATTATTCTTATTATGCCCTACAAACAGTCGGTGTAAACATCCAAGCTAAAAAGAATGATTTGCTGGTGTAATCATAACTGACTCTCAACTTTTAGCCAGCCCATCAATTTAATGGTCTCCTGGAAACTCAGTTTCAGCGCTGAGTTGTTCTTGTGGTCTGATGTGTGGTTAAGATGATGTGGATGATGACTTTGTGTTCTACTCCCTCGGCAGGCTTCACACAGCCCAGAGAGCCATCAAACAGACCCAAGTCACAGTGCAGAAGATCGGGAAGGAGATCGAGGAGAAGCTAAGGACGACGGCGGCCTGCACAGAGCGGGTGAGCGTGGTCGCCCCTCGGCAACAAATTCCAGCTCATCAGCGACTGGTTTAGATGTTTTCAGTAGCTTGAACGTTGGTGTGAAGTTTGTTTTCAGAGGAAGTACCATGTATAACACCACAACTGATGTGATCAGCGATAACGGAGTTTCTGGCCTCCACCAATAATAAACATCAGAATCGTGCTTGATACTTACAAGGATTTAAGAGCTTGTCTCACACAAAGCTCCAAATGTAATTGTAACTTAAAGAAATGTGAGATCTGAAAATCCATCGATTGTGATTGTTTTGATAGCTCAGCTCCTCAGTGATGATGCCTGCGCCAAAATGCCTTGTTTATGTTTCCACCTCCTGTAATGTGCTCAAATACGCTAAAGAAGCGTGTTTAACATATTTGGAATTGTCAGGCGCACAGCTGTGAAAACGCAGTACCGATCCCAGGTCTGACATTGTGTTTACTGTAAAAATTCACTTCAAAAGCATCCCCTCTCTTCTGGTGTTATACAAGCCCGGAGGCAATGATACTTGAGTATTTTTGTCCCCCAGGTAGGCGGCACAAAAAAGCATTTTCACTCACCATGCACGGTACAATTGTGGACAACTGGGCTGCTTTTGTGTCCAGTCCAACTGGACTCTGAGAGTGCGTATGTGTGCTGGTAGAAGATTTAAGCGATCTGAATGTCTGCTTAGTGAGCCTCTTTATACAGCTGTTACAGCTGTTGCTTTCTATCTTGCTGCTCCTCATGAGTTTTTGATATCCCTGATTTTTTATTTTTTTTTCCTTTCCTTAGGCCTTCACCCTACTTATTAAGGCAGCCCCCTACTATAGCCTCAGCTTTCCCACAAAAACATCGAGGCTCCATTCTTTTCGCCACAAAGGATCCCTTTCAAGAACTTTTCTCTGATATTTCCCTCTCAGTGAAACATTCCTCAAACCCCTTTTCAGAGTTCAAATCTGCCAATAAATCACATAATCCTCATCTTCTACCTTTCTGTAAAAGCCCCCCCCCCCCATCTTGGAGTGAGTGGAGCATTGTGTGATTCTTCTAAGGGCTTCCCACTTTGGAGAGCTCTGTACCATCTTTCTGTATGCGTCATGGTGAACATGCATCAAAGGGCGATGGAGTGGAGGCCACCTAGCCGAGCACATGCCCCTTTCACCCTCTCACCCACACTCTGCCATTAATCTGCTCAGTTATAACGCGCTCCCACCCCCCCACCCCCACGCCTGCTGCTTATTTACTCAGCTGACCCACTGCTGTTTGATGTTCAGTAGACATCAGACAGACCCTGCTGGTTAGGTACAGTCTTTCTCCCTCTCTGTCTCGCACACACACTCACACATCACAGCAACCCACTTGTTAATTCTGGTGCTCAGTGAAAGTGTAGGAGGCTCGTGGTTCGTGCCAAAGCCAGTTGTGGTTAACATGCAAGTGTCAGGGTGCGACACATTGGACAGATAGAGGCTCTATCAGTCATCTCTTTCCCCGTGTTTTCTCCACGGTACCCACAGGAAGAAAAAATCTGTATCATATCTGTTTTTGCTCTGATCCAGGCTGCGATCTCTTATCTAAGTGAATGTGTGTGAGATGCCAAAGTCCCCGCTCCTCCCTCCCTAATCTTACATCATTATCAGTTCCCTGTTTGTGTCTTCCATCTCCTTATTACAAGTGTGTATGTGTATAGTTTTTTTTCTGTCTCAGCAACTGTGCTGCCCTCCTGAATCCCCCTAAATCCGTCTTCCTGTTTTGAATGGATCATTTTTCGTTGAGTGGTTTTGTCAGTCGCTGCTCTCTCCCCTTCATCGACTGTGCAAGTGCATCCATCAACCCCTGTTTCTGTTCCTTATTAGATGATTAGGGTGAGCCCACTTCACACTCCTCTTTACCAGATAGAGAAATGAAGATGATGAAGGGACGCCGCTCGGAGAGGCTTAGATTACGACTAATGACCTGCGCTCTGATGGCGCTGGTGGGCAGGGATGTGGGGTGGAGAGGCGCCTCCTGGCAGGAGTTTTAATTCGGGGCGGTCACTCATCTCGAGTCGCTGGGCTTTATTGTGGTCTTTTGCTTCGGGTTATGTTTGAGGGTTTGTGCACGTCTTCCTGTTTGCATGTTCTGAGACTTTCATGTGGCGTCTTACTCTTTAGCCTTTCTTACATTTTAATTGATGAACAAACCCACAGCTACAACTTCACATTCACGTTCTCCCAGCCGAATCCATGCACAAGCAATTTCCTCCAAATGTTGAGCGTACATATTTCTAACTTCCACTGCTGCCACTCATAACACATTCTTTCCTGAGACAACACTCAGATAATGTCACTGTCTGCATCAGTTTAAGAATGGCTTTGTGTTGACACCTGCATGACTACAAATCTGCTCAGGTTGCTGTTGGAGACAGCTGTTTCCTCAGCTTCCAGATAACTGTCCTGGCTCTATTTTATTCTCTTTTTCTATGTAATATCGCAGTAATAAAGCAATATCATATGGCAGAGGAAACAGTCGAGAAATCAAAACACAGTATTAAAATAAACTGTGTAAAATTAAGTAAATATACATATATTTTCATTTTTCTCATTTTAATTAAAGTGTACTTGGATTCCATCCACCCAACCAGCCATGTTTGTGACTCAGAGTCATTGTTGAGCTGTATATTGTTACCAGTCTGTTACTGGGATCAGTTCAGTTTATTAGGAAGTAATATTGGGTAGTAATTTTCATCCAGAAGCTCAGGCGTCAGGCTACAGACACAGCTTCAAACCTTTAGTTTGACAGGGATAGCTGTTTAGAAGAAAATGGTTTGCTCCTCCACTTCCTGCCACAAGTGGAGGAGTTCAAGTATCTCGGGGTCTTGTTCGCGAGTGATGGGAGAAGGGAGCCGGAGATCGACAGACGGATTGGGGCTGCAGCTGCAGTAATGCGGACGCTGCACCGGTCCGTCGTGGTGAAGAGGGAGCTGAGTGTAAAAGCGAAGCTCTCAATTTACCGGTCGATCTACGTCCCTACCCTCACCTATGGCCACGAGCTGTGGGTAGTGACCGAAAGAACGAGATCGCGGATACAAGCGGCAGAAATGAGCTTCCTCCGAAGGGTGGCTGGCCTCTCCCTTAGAGATCGGGTGAGAAGTTCGGCCATCCGGGAGGGGCTCAGAGTAGAGCAGCTGCTGCTCCACATCGAAAGGAGCCAGCTGAGGTGGTTCGGGCATCTGACAAGGATGCCTCCTGGGCGCCTCCTGGGTGAGGTGTTCCAGGCATGTCCCACCGGGAGGAGGCCCCGGGGCAGACCCAGGACACGCTGGAGAGATTATATCTCTCGGCTGGCCTGGGAACGCCTTGGTATTCCCCCGGACAAGCTGGAGGAGGGGGCTGGGGAGAGGGAGGTCTGGGCCTCTTTGCTTAGACTACTGCCCCCGCGACCCGGCCCCGGATAAAGCGGATGAGGATGGATGGATGGATGGATGGTTTGCTTGAGACAGAGGATGCACTCAGGGGCCGAACGGAGTCCCAGTATTAGATGAATTAAGTTAAACTGGGAGTCATGGAAAGCTATGACTTTCCATGACTCGAAGCGGGAAATATTAAACGAATAAATAAGAATTAGTTGACGTTTGTTATTTTCACAGTATATCCTGCCTTTCTCCCATCACCCACAAACGCTTCCGGCAGATGGCCGCCCAGCTCCGAGCCTGGTTCTGCCGAGGGCTGCTTCTTCCTGTTGAAAGGGAGTTTTTCCTTCCCACTGTTACCAGTTGCTTGCTCACAGACTGGTTGTTGGGTTTTCTCTGTATTGTTGCAGGGTAGGTTTACATCCAAATATGTAAAGCACCTTGAGGCAACCGTTGTTGGGGTTTGTTGCTGTACAAACAAGATTGAATGTTTTCACTTTCACAGGTGAGTCAGGTTGCTGTCAATCAGTCACAGTCTGTGCACAGCTATGCAAACATGAGAAATAGGCCTTAGCAGCCACAATAAGTGAAAACACCTGTTTGTCTCTGTGTGTATAGACCTGTGAAGTTGGGTTTAGTAGGAGACAGAAGGAAATTGGAACAAACCAAAAACATGCTCGGGCCGTTGTTTAAATGAAATAAATGGTAAGAGACATATTACAAAACACACCTTCTTTCCCAGCTGTAACGATTTAAAAAGGAACAAATGACTGCATACGAGGACAGATGTGTTATGTAGATGATTTGTAAATTATATGCTCTATGTGAGAGGCCTGAAAGGGAGAAGACTTTATTCACTGTGGTTCTGGTGCAGGTTCGGCACCCGGCCTCATCTGCTCACCTCAGACCAGCTGTTTGAACGTGGAACTCAGTACTACTTACCTTGGAGCCGGCCGTTCCCATGACTTGGGCTCATTAGTAAACATTAACGATGATTCCAGGGCTCAGTAAGACGTTTTGAACACGCAAATCTTCCTTTCTGTGTTATCATTAGCTGTTGACAGTGCTTTCTGTTATTGCTAACAGTGAGCATTGGCTCAGTGGTTGTGCATTAAATCAGCGCGATATGGGATCAGCCTAAAAAACAGTGTTTGTTTTTGTGGGAGCTAGTAGGAATCTTGGGGTCTTTATAAAAGGTTGCTGTGACCACATGCTAAATATTTTCTTTCACTGTCTTTTTCTCTTTCCTTTCTGCCGCTTTGTGTGAGCAGAAGAAGGAGCGCGAGTGCATGCAGCTGCGTATAGCGGTCCTTCACAGTGAGCTGGAGCGGCAGAGGAAGGCACTCGGGAGGGAGAGAGACCTGCGACAGAAAGAGAGGGCACTGCTGCAGAAGAAAGGTAAACGGAATAGGTGGACATGCTGCATATGCACCTGGGGAAAGTGTTAACACCACACCACCATGCATAAATCACCTTTTAATATTGTTTGATGCTATTGTGTGCACCGTTTAGTGCTCGCTTGCAGTAACTAGTGGGTGAAAACATGAACACACGAGCAATAAGAAAAATTAAAGGCTCAGTTTGGTCTTATATAAAAGTAACTTCAAATGATCGGTTATTCCCTCTGCAACTCATTTTGCTGTCTCCAGTGGTGCTGCGTCACTCAGATCCTGCTTGTGGAAGAAGACTTAATATAATGGTAAAAACATGTGCTCCCAATTCCAACGAAATCCCCAAATCTTTTCATGATAATCCACAGAAGGCTCTGCTGCAGCTACCAGTTGTAACGAGAACAGAATATAAAAGTAGTTCTGACAGTTTGACTATTTTGTGTAAATTGTGGTAAGCACAGGTCTAACCAGGACGGTTTGCGTGTTAATTTAGAACAATAGTGAGTTTGCTTTGGCTCACTCATGTAATAGCTGGGAGATGTTAGCCTGTCACTTATGTAGTGCAATTGGCACATTCAAACATATGAATTCACATCCACAATGCAAAAAGCAAACAACAAAATAACAAGAATTTAGCAATACTGTAGCTGAACAGACAGATGGTTGTCTTTATTAGAAAATCCACTGCTTGAATGTTAGTCTTATATTTAGCCAAATGCATTAATATAAAGTTGTTGACCAGTATATAGATGTCAGTGTTTTTCTAAAAATACGTTTTGGTATCAAAAATCCAGCATTGGTCACACACAGCTTATGGAAATAAATTGCACATAATTTGCATTTCTTTAATAAAACAAATTACACCAATCCTTCCAAATGTGTTCTTTCAGTAATGTGAGTTTTAGTTGTTGTTGAAAGAGAGAAAGTGAAGCTTGTTACCAAACTAATGGATTTTACACCCATGATTCCATAAATTCAGGTCCTGAAACGGTGTTAATAATTTGTCTTGCACATCTCTAGAGAAATCTGCTCTTTTTAACGGCTCGGTCAAGGTTTCCATGTTGTCAGAGCAGCAGGCAGATCATTTTAGTATATTCCACAACGTGGTCTTGGTCCAGTCAGAAGATGGAGTTTCTTAACACAAGCAGATCTGCAGTACACAGATACTTCCTGCGGTTTGTGCTAAAGCAGAAGTGTTTGTGCAGTTGTCACTTAGTTAACCCTATGACGTTTCCATCTATACATCTATAGTCACATGTTCTGATGTAATGAGCCCAGTGCAACTTTTCACAATGAATTGACAGGATGTATCTTGATTTCTGTGTCCTTTAAGATCAGCTCGCTCTTTGGCAAAGACAGATCACTGAATCACCGATCTGAGGAAGTGATTAGCGTGAAGTCTGCACTCATACATACGCTGTCACATAATAAAAGAGCTCTAAGAGCGCTTCAGGGAGAGGTTGCCTTTGTGACACGATTCTGAAAAATGACCATTAATTCTCTTCCTCTTTGTCTGTCACCACTCTGTCTGCAGCCAAGCGAACTCACGGCTCTGCTGCCTCGCAGCTCTATAGAGGCCTTTTTCCAGACGGGACAGGTGCTTATTAAAAAAGAAGGAAAATTCCTTTAGCTGGTTAAAAAGAGAGGGGAAAATCTGGTCTTTTAGGATAAATTGAAATGCTATATGTAAAGACAGCCGGGCTGAAGTCTTGTTGCTTTTCCCAGACTCATAAGTCAAAATCCAAAAGCCATCTGCTGCTGAGCTGTACTTCCAGCTTGTTGTTTAACTCCTCTAATCAGCCAGCAGACATTCATTTGTTTCAAGATTGGAAAAAAGTGTGCATTAATTACAGGACAGGATACTGTTGGAGACAGGTGTTTACAGTGCTTCGCACAGCAGCTGATTTTCTGTCTGATTATATTTGGATTGGCACCACAGTGTGTTTGTTTCATATGATCTCGTCTTTCACTTTTGAAACGCATATGATTCTATCAATCGCAGGCGAAATTTCATTTAGAAATCTCCCCGAGAAGCCCGTGAGAAATGGACAGATTTGAGCCAAAAATGGTTCCTGTTCAGCAAAATCACAAGAGCGTGCGACTGAGCGGCGATCTCATATGCCACTGTTGTTTTAATCAGAAGCAAGTGTTTCATTTGTTGAGCTTTCACACATTCCAGTGCTTATAAGTTGCAGGTTTACCTTCAAATTTTATTGACAGTTTTACAGCGAGTGTAAGTATGTTGCTATGAAATATGTCCCCCGTGGGCACCACAGATGGGCTGGTAAGCTCCATTCTTCGTCACGCTCTTTAGGACCTCATCCGTACCTGGCCGTGTGGTCTCGTTGTCTCCCACACGTTCACAGGGCCCATTGGCAAATAGCTCTTATCAACCTGTTGTTCCCACCGAATGGGCCTCCCTAACAAAACAGCAGGTGCAGAAAACCCAAACGTAGAGAAGGTGTTGCTTTTCTTCTCTCGTGTGTTGAACTTGTGAGAAACCAGATAAAACGACTCGAGTGTTGAACTATTAGAATCTTCCTTTAGACTTGCTAGAGCCTGTTTGGTGTAACGCTGATGCTGTTAGTTTAACCAGCTGATTAATGTAATTCCAGGGAAATCAGAGCAGGAAAGTAAAAGTTTGTTTTTCTGTGCGTGGGAACGCGCACACGCCATGTCACATGTCAGCATGATCACTTTCCCCCCATTTTTTTAAGTTATGAATTGAAAGTAAGTCTTTCTGTCCTCCCTCTGAAATCAATCACTTTGGTTTCTGTGGGGTCACACTCTTGTCACAATTTCCGCCTGTCTAATTTCCCTCCTCCCACCTTGAGCAGATGACATAAATCAGGCCTGTGAGCAGCGTTTATTGTACTTGGTAACAGTAGTTATTCTCACGCTCTGCCACACAGCCAGGGCTCCTGACCAATAAATGTCAGCGGTTGGGTTTCTCCAGGTTTTGTGAAGGTATGGTGTGTGGAGGTATTTGTCACCTCAGTGAAAAAGGTCTCATATTGAAGCGATCATCATTAGAGCTCTTTTAGCAGCAGCTCAGCTTTACACATTTACTTCAACCAGCTGGCTGCCATCTTGAGTCAGGGTAAAGGTTGACAGGTACTGGAGTCAGACACTGCTTAACGGGCCAACCGTCTGCCTTTTTATACTTACTGACCCCTCTGACATTTCTATGTCGAGGTCAGAAATGTCTTATATTTTGTCCTAATAATTGATATTTTTCCACTGAGCTTTTCATGTGAGTTAACTGCTGGTATAAAAACCAAGCTTATTTACAGTGTACATTAGATTAATGCACCTTTTAAAATCATTTCATTGAGAACTTTGCATGCACCTTCTGACTAGCTTTGACCTGCACTTTCAAAGTATTTCTGAAATACTGCCCAGCGCCCGGTATTTCAGGAGCCACAAACAGCCCAATTTGATGGTGGGAAATAATATATAGCCATCCATATAGTAAAGGAGATCAAAGAAGCTGCGTTTTGCTGCTTGTCACTAGAGGTCACCTCACATGTTAGTTTTACGCTGTGTCCCCTTTCTCGTGCAACCAGAGGATCCATACTGTAAACAAGTCCATTTATGGATCCTTCATTTACAAAAAAAATTGAATTAACAGCCTGATATTATGTCTTAGTCAGTGTTGGGCAAGTTACTTTGAAAAAGTAATTAATTATAGTTACTAGTTACTTCTTCAAAAAAGTAACTGAGTTACAAGATTCTAAAAGTAATTAACTATAGTGTTACTTTAAAAAAAACGTTTAACCCTCTGCGGTCCAGGGTGTAATTGGCCATTTTTAATCACTTCTGATGTTTCCTCCACATTTTAGCTTTAAAAACGATTTACTTTGTCTTGTTTGGTATCATTCTTTTCAGCACAACCTCGCGTGTCTGAATTTACAGTAATGTTTTCATTTTGACTACTGTGTTAACACAATTGATCTAAAATCAGACAAAATTCAATAAGATGCCACACAAATTATTTGTGTCACTTCAAAAACATAATTTCTGTCCACTATAAAGGAAACATCACAG